TGAGCCCTGTTTCTGCTTACCTCAGGAAAAGGTGCTCACGGTTTCAGCATGCACATGCGGGTTGTCTGCTAATATATACTTGCCCTCCTTCACCTCATTTAACCTGGCCACTGCTTCGGTCAGCTTTGCCCCTCACTTGCAATTCTGTCGCCAAGGAGTGGAGGGACTGCACTATGGGTCCTGAATTCATTGTGGAACGATAGCTGTCATCTAGATCTTTGTCTAGTGGCTCCACTCAACAGGAATCTTCTCCTCACCCCAGTGGAAGGAGACAGGCCAGGTTTACTTAGCCTTGAGTCTGGATAAAATACCTCAGAATCATTGTCTGTGCTTAGCATAGATGGAATGAGCAAAGAAAGAGGGACAATGGAAATCCAGTGTTGCCTACGATGTCTTTGATATGGTAGGCAATGTAATTCTTTCAGATTTAATTGGTTCTCCAGTGTTTTCTAACCCTGTCTTACAGGTTCCAAGCAGCTTTCAGAGGTACCATTCAATATTTTATAAAAGCTAGCATCGCCTGTAGAGAACTGCTATGTATGCTTCGAGTCATAGGCCTCACCTTACAGAGGTATCACTCGAAATGCAGAAATGCTTCTTATTGCCAATGACCCCTGCTGTTCTGATTCCACACATTATGAAAATATTTATTTTTATCCAACAGGTTTTGAGTGAGTTTGGCTGTCGATCAGCAGGGTTTTTACAAACCTTTGCTATTCTCTTTAATAGCAGTACCCTGATCGCCATATCAGTGGACAGGTATCGATGTGTGGTCCAAGGGCATAGTCAACCCTTTATGTCTGAGTGGCAGGCAATGCACATGGTCATCTACGTGTTTGGGATCTCAGCACTGAGTCTGGGTAAGGTTTATTTATTTTTTTCTGGTAATTCTATATTTGTTCTTATATATCTATATATTTATCTATTTATCATCATATTATTGACTCTTTAACCCCTCTCTCTAATATGTAATCAGAAAATATATCATGTCATTATTTGTGCTTAGTTATGAAAATATTAGAATTAGAAATGGAAATATTTAAAAGACAAAGAAACGAAAAGTCGGGTTTAAGTGAGAAAAACATCTGAGATAAGATCCATCTTCCACTTTAGGCACGTGTCTGCCGTATGTGTTCTATTTCAACCTGGAGGGCCCTTTCATCACTATCCGTATAGAAGATGATGGTCAAGTTGAAGTGAAGTGTCCTGTGTACTTCTGTTGGTCCTCCTCTTTCACCCTGCAGATGTATCAGGGTTTCCTCATTTGCCTCATTTTCATGCCTCTCCTCATTGTCTTCCTCGTCTGCTACTCGAGGCTCATTGCATTCCTTCGCCAGAGGCCTACGGTGGGTGCTGCAGACTTCAGGCAAAGTGGGAGGAAGAAGAAGGTGCGTATGTATCTATGTCTTGTGTAGCGAAATATTTTGTATACTGAGTAGCACCCAACTTTGAATGTAAGTACCACAGAATTGTGTGGCTGCAGACATTCCTATGATATTGATCAGAACTTGCTACAGTATACATGATAGCACAGTATATCAGCATATCTCATGTGGTCAGATAGTTAAATCAAAATCCCCTTTCAGAAAATTCAGTTCTTTCAGTAAACTGAATCTTCATTAACCAGAATTGGGAAATGGGGTAAAATTTAATTTCAAACTTAAAACCTAAAATTAATTTGGAACCAGTTAATATTTGGCGAAATCAGTCATTAATGCTTAGATAGACCTAATACTCAGGTCGGTGCTGTATTTCTTTCTCTTTACGTGTAGTAGGTAATCAATGGTGGCATATAGCAATCTAGTTCACTGCTTACATCCAACAACTGATTCCAGTTTCCATGATTTGGACTTGTTTTGTTGTGGAGCTCATTCTGATACTTGATTTGAAGGCATTCTGTAACAAGAGGTTGCCTTGCCCTGGTTTGTGTGCAAGTGTTCCTTATATTTGTAAATCTTTGCCTGTTGAATATTATCCACAGTTATCATTATCAGGAATAATAATGGGCCGAGGAACCGCAGTGAAGTTTGATATTAGGTTCGAGGAAGGAGACCCATTTCATTCAGCCCTCGTGGAATCCCAGGGAAATTATATTATAATTCGGGTAATGTGATTCATGAGGTCAAATGCTTTCTGTATGACCTCCAGTCGTTTGTCTATTTTTGATGTGATGCAAATAAGGTGAGTCAGGTAATGGACTGTGGAGCTTCGTTCGGTGTTTCCAATTTTAGTGATAGTCTAATTTTGGGGTAAATGTTTTCGATAATTCCCTAGCAATTTGCGATATAGGCATGAAGTCATCGAGAGAATTGGGCCAGCTTATTTTGGGAATTGGGACTCTGATGACGCTTCCATAAAGCAGGCACCACATCCTTAGTGGACCTTCTATAGATTTCGCATAGAGAGGTGGCGAGCTCAGGAGAGAATTCTCGCATTAATCTCAGTGCGATGTCATCAGGGCTGGGTAATTATTTTTTGCTATCCTTTTTAAAAGCTGATGCACTTCGTATTCACTTACGATTACTTAGAGAGAGTGGGAGGGCACGCTGACAATTTTGTTGTTTGCAGTGGTGGGAGTAGCTTGTTGATGTTAGGAAAGTGATTGTTGACGAAGTCAGAGGCGCTCTCTGGCGAGTCGGTAATGCCGCTGATTTTAGAGAGGCAATTGTCACTTCTCATGTTAGCAGTTATGTTCCTGGTGTGGCTATACCATGATTTGGGGTTTGGTTCATTGTCTTATTCAATGACTTGTTTATGGTTATTCTTATCCGATCATGTCTCATTTGATCATTTGATCCTTTTGTGATCCTCGGCTTACCCTGATGGTGAGTCTATGTTTTATTTAAACGGAAGCAATTATCAACTTGATTCCAGACATTTAGCATTCGGCTTCGGGGCGTTGGCCCAGGCATGATGAAATGTAGAGAAAGAGAAGTAATCGATTACTACAAATATTGATGAAAGTACTGTACTATTGTTTTATTAATGAATACTTATATATGTGTGTATATATATATTTCTTTATATACACCAATAATCATATATATACATACACACACACACACTCATATATATATATATATATATATATATATATATATATATATATATATATATATATATTTATAGATTTATTTGTATATGCATATATATGTGTGTGTGTATACATATATGTATCAACACACACACACACACACACACACACACACACACACACACACACACACACACACACACACACACACACACACACATATATAAATATATATATATATGTATCAGTATCAGACTGATTCTAAGACTCATCTAGTAAAGTTGTTTGATCTCCAGTGCTGTTCTTGACTGCAATGAAGTTTAATACAACATAATATGTAATGCAAAACCAAGGCGAGGAAAGACTTCTTCATTGTTTAATTCACTAACATTACTAACAGCGTCCATTTGTTTTCCACAATTACTTGTCTTCAATGAAGGGTAATGTCTGCTCTCGGTTGTCTGTTTACATCATCGATAGCTGGTTGTTAGGAGTGTTTTTGTCGCACTCGACACGACGAAGCAAGCCGAAATAAACCATAGCTTGCTCGCTTACTTCGGTAGTCAGTCTGCTTTAAGGCGTCTTTGGTAGATCAAGGGAAGTACCAACGTGTTGGATTTTTTCCAATGCTTAGGAAACTTTCGGCAACGCGTTGTGATATGAAAATAAGCCTGAAATTCGTTATTAGAGGCCCACCTCGTTTCTACTATGCTTTTTCTCCAAAGAAACCTAGCCATTCTTATACTCTACAACAGAAATCCGTATATTTGTAGACCACTCTATATTCAGAGATCAAGAGAGAGAGAGGGGGAGGGAGGATGAAACAAGAGAGAGAGAGAAGGGGAGAAGAGTCTTGAGCGGTCATTTGTGCTGTTATGTTATTGTTGATAGTTGTTGATAGAGTGTACTGTGTGAAATGAGGTGTTTAATCATTTTCCCAAACTCACCCTGTGCCACTCGGCATTTATGATGATTGATAGTTAATCATTCAGCCAAAGCCCCAACGCGTTGGAACTAATCTCATTTCTCTAATCATCGTTTCTGTATTGCTCCTAGTATCGTCATATAATTTTGTCTGACACCGGAATTAGTCCTCCAGAGCAATTTGGCGCTGGGTTATTACTTGTCGCCTGGTTATGAGGGGATAAGGAACTGCAATGCTTCCTGACAAAAACACCTACCATTGTAAATAGTGCATCATCATTATTTTGCGACGAAGCCCCTGTATCAATATATGAGATCATTGCGCTGACCATGGAAACAGTAGAGATGAGGTAGTCAGATGAAAAGGAAACACAAAGAAGACAGTGAAAATAGGTCAACAATTAGAAAATACAATATGTATTACCTCAAAGAACTCACATTTTAACTTTTTTTTTTACACATTTAGTGCATTTTGATTAAGAATGATCGTCATTACATGCTGTAGTTTATATTTCAAAATTCACTTTTATATCTTTATTTTCTTCGAATTGACTGAATCATAAGAATGATCCTGACTGCGCTATCAAATATTACTTGAGTGTTTTCGCGATAAGATATATCCTCGTAAACACAGAGGTAACTCAGCGCCAGATCGTGCTAAATGGTTGTTTCTGGTGTCATTTGGAATTCAAGGAAAAGCAACAAAGGTTTCAGTTGGAAGTTAGAATTGATACCGACAATAATTTTCCCGTAACAAGACAGGAAATATTCAACATAAAGTATATAGTCTATGTCATTTTTCCACTCGGCTGAAATATTGTGAAAATCATTTCACTAATTGTTAACGATAAAAGAACATGTTTCATTTGTTTTCTAAGCTACTTTGACTTTACTCAGCAACGATTTTTAAAAAGGCGGAAATCCATTTTCTATAAATAACTTACAGTTCTTAATTGGATTTCTTGGGACGTTGTGAGTTTACTTTACCCAAAACAGCTCTACACATCCTAAAATCACTAGCTTGTCAACCAACATGTCTAGA